GGGTAAAACTTTCCGAGGGCGTTTTTACCCCATAGATTTCAATGCCCATAGGGGTTTCTTCAGCCAGATTGATCATCTCGGCCTGTAGTATTACCATGCCGATTTTGAAGAAAATCGTAGGGGCCGCCCCATTGACCGAAAATTTTCATCTTGGGTAAACTTTACCCTTGTTGGGGTAATGGGTAAATTTTACCCCACCATTTTGTTTGGGTTTTCATGGGCTTTCATAAGATACCCATATTGGGGGGATGCGTGCGATAGTCTTGCCAGAAATGCGTGGGTAAAACTTTCCAAGGGCGTTTTTACCCCATAGATTTCAATGCCCATAGGGGTTTCTTCAGCCAGATTGATCATCTCGGCCTATAGTATCACCATGCCGATTTTGAAGAAAATCGTAGGGGCCGCCCCATTGACCGAAAATTTTCATCTTGGGTAAACTTTACCCTGGATGGGGTAATGGGTAAATTTTACCCCACCATTTTGTTTGGGTTTTCATGGGCTTTCATATGATACCCATATTGGGGGGATCCGTGCAATACACTTGCCGGAAATTCGTGGGTAAAACTTTCCGAGGGCGTTTTTACCCCATAGATTTCAATGCCCATAGGGGTTTCTTCAGCCAGATTGATCATCTCGGCCTGTAGTATTACCATGCCGATTTTGAAGAAAATCGTAGGGGCCGCCCCATTGACCGAAAATTTTCATCTTGGGTAAACTTTACCCTGGATGGGGTAGTGGGTAAATTTTACCCCACCATTTTGTTTGGGTGTTCATGGGCTTTCATATGATACCCATATTGGGGGGATGCGTGCGATACACTTGGCCAGAAATGCGTGGGTAAATCTTTCCAAGGGCGTTTTTACCCCATAGTTTTCAATGCCCATAGGGGTTTCTTCAGCCAGATTGGTCATCTGGGCCTGTAGTATCACCATGCCGATTTTGAAGAAAATCGTAGGGGCCGCCCCATTGACCGAAAATTTTCATCTTGGGTAAACTTTACCCTGGATGGGGTAATTGGTAAATTTTACCCCACCATTTTGTTTGGGTTTTCATGGGCTTTCATATGATACCCATATTGGGGGGATGCGTGCGATACACTTGCCAGAAATGCGTGGGTAAATCTTTCCAAGGGCGTTTTTACCCCATAGATTTCAATGCCCATAGGGGTTTCTTCAGCCAGATTGATCATCTCGGCCTGTAGTATCACCATGCCGATTTTGAAGAAAATCGTAGGGGCCGCCCCATTGACCGAAAATTTTCATCCTGGTTAAATCATGCTTTTGGTTAAATTGATCCGGTATTTAACCATATCATTGGGTCCGGGGTGAAGAGATCTTTCAAATGGTGGTCTTATTTTTCAGTTTCGTCCAGCCGTTTAGGCGTAAAACGGTTTTTAGATTTTTCCCTAGATTTCTAGATTTTCCCCTAGATTTGGCAGCCCCAATCTGGGCTGGGCCGAATGTGGGCTGAATGTGGGCTAACTTCCGTTACATCTGGTTCGTGGAATCCCTAGAATCTAGCGCATCTAGCGCCTTGCGTTTGTCAATGGTTCAGGCTTCAGCTGCCATGAAGTCGTACTTTTGTTGTTATTGTTGTTGATACTTGATATGTGCGCAAAGCGCACAGGCGGCTACTACCTACCCTACAGCCTTGCTACCAAGGCCGTATAAGTTAGGTAAGATCGTCCGGGCTCGCTAATGTTACAAATCTGCAACACTACAGTGACGTCACCGGGGCATACCTACGCTCCCTGGCTCCATCCGGACCCTGATGCGGCCGCTGGAATCGCTGCTAATCGAAAAATTACTTGTGCAATAGCGCTTTTAAATGACTTTTAACCCTATTAGTGGCAGGCTCCTGGCTACCCCATATTAGTGGCAGGGGGGGCTGTTTACGACCCCCCCTTGATATCTCGAGATCTAACGGGCCGATTTTCAAAATTCAAACGGCATTCGATGTGGCTCAACGAGATCTACATTTCTAAAAAAAAAATAAAATTAAAAAATGTCAATAGGGGGGTAGAGGGGGGTAAAAACGGGCAAATTGCAGATACATTTTAGACTGTTTATCACGGCCAGGTTTCTGAACCAATCTTAACGCAACTTTTGCCGATCGATAGAGAATGAACCAGGAATTCACATGGATCCTAAAAATATGCATTTTCAAAAATCATAGGCGGATACAGATCATTGAGATTGGGGGTACACAAAAAGTATAGTAAATAAGGTTTTTGTTGGTACTGTTTCTAAAAAGGGTGGCAATGGTCTTGTTATGTTACAATTTTCTTATGAGAGAACGACTAAAATTGTATTGGTCATGCATAGGCGGTGTCAGGGCACCTATGTTGGGAGGTAAAAAATAACCCCCCTTTTGGACGCCTGGATCCGCCTATTATAGCAAAAACGTGTCAAAAGAGGATGCACAATAACTTTGTATATGTTATCACATGATACCTTTCATTCACTGTTCGTAAAACTGGTGCAGCATCGTGATCTTCGCCCAAATGACTCGCTTCACGAATAGGACCCCCCCAATTCCCAGTGCTCTGGAGCCGCCCCTGGTAAAGTTATGAACTTGAAATTTTCAGGGAATGTGCCCAATTTAGTTTTAGGAAAAGTCAGAAAATTTCAGCATCGTAGCTTCAGCGGTTTCGGAGATATTCCCGAAAAACCTGAGGGGTGGATAAAAACAACCCCCCCCTGCCACTAATAGGGTTAAAGGGGGAAAATATGATAGCAAAATAATAATGAGAATCCCTTGTCCTGACTGGGATTGTATGACCCCGCCACCTATCGGACAACGTCGTAATTAGGGTTGAGTTGGCGATCGCCAGGTGGCTTGTCAGTAAGCTGTCAGCCGGACAGGAGAGGGGCCGTCAGGCTGTAAACGCCAGATCATGCTCAGGAAAATGCGACACGCTTAAGAACGGTCATTTATCTCGAAAAAGATGCGGTGCCCTGTGGTGATATGGCCCACATGACTCGGGACCCGTAAGCCGTATACGGCCTACGGGTCCCCTCCCGAGTCATCAGGGTCCTTATAAGGCCCCTGTGGTCACCGGCAGCTCCCAAGGCCCCTACGGACGCGATACATGCTTCGAAAATCGCTAGACAAAGGACTCAGGGGCGCAGCCAAGGGGGAGGGGCACACTAGGGCTTTAGCCCCTCCCAAATCTAGCAGGCGCCCTCTGGAAAGACGCCATCCAGGCGCCGAAGGCGCCCTGGATGCAGCGCCTTCCACGATCATTCTGTGCGCCGATGGCGCCTTTTCAGTGTCCAGCACTCTAGACTCTAGTCGCCCTCGACGGTAAGCCATTGCGACGTCATCATGCGGTACTGGCGCCCAGATTTACAATTTTATATCTCTTTGTGGGTGAAGATGCACCCACAATCCTGAAATGCCGGATATCCACTCCCAATCACCTGACCATCTAGCGCCCTCGGCTCACCTTCAGCGCCCTTCCGTCTGCTCGGCGCCCTTCTCATCTGTCGGCACCCTTCTCGCCCTTCAGCGCTCTCCTGGCCTGTCGGCACCCTCTTCACATTCGGCGCCCTCCGGGCAGACCAGTTAGCGCCCTCATGGACATTATCACACAGCATCCTCCTGATCTGTCTCGCCCTCCACACTTGTCAGCGCCCTCCTGACCTGGCAGCGCCTATCGTATTATAGCGCCCTCTTCACCGTACAGTGCCCTCCTGACCTGTCGCCATCCTCCTCACTGTATAGCGGCCTCCTAACCATACAAAGCCCTCCAGACCGGCTCCCGCTACGTTCAGCGCCCTCCTGACAAGTCGGTGTCCTTTTCACCGTAGACGGCCCTCCTGACCTGTCGGCGCCCTCCTGACCGTACATTGCCTTCCTCACCTTGTCCGCGCCCTCCTCTTTATACAGTGTCCTCCTGACCTGTCAGCGCCCTCTTCACTCGTATAGTGTCCTCATCGTACAGCATCCTCCTCACCATGGGCGCCCTCCTGACCTGTCGGCGCTCTCCCCACCATACAGCGCCCTGCTGCCTTGTCGGCGCCCTCTTCACGGACAGCGTTCTCCAGATCTGTCGCAGCTCTTATCACCGTGCAGTGCCATCCTGACCTGTCAGCGCCCTCGCCTGTCGGCGACATCTTCGCGTTCAGCGCCCTCCTGACCAGCCTGCGCCTTTTGCAACGCATAGCACCCTCATCACCATGCATCGCCCTCCCGACCAGTCAGCGTCGCCGTTCATCGTACAGCGCCCTCTGACGGCAGGGGGCTGGTACGACCCCCCCCCCCCTCGCGCCTCTGACAGCTTCGTAACATGTTACGAAGGCACCAAAACTACTTCGTAAATGTTCAAATGGTTACTAAATTCGAAATCAGCTCCAAAAACTAGCCTAGAAACATGTAAAACTCGAAAAAGTGAACCGAGGTCACCAAAGGTCAATGACCTGACCTGACCTGGGTGACCTTGACATCCACCCTAATGCATAAGAGCAACATCAAATCACATGTTTGAACATTTGAAACCACGAAAAGCTTGCAAACGCGCGGCTAATGCGAGCCGACGGCCCGACATACGCCGAATCGCGATTCCGACCAAACATGGTCTCGGAAAGTAGGTCACAGGTCAAAGGTCATTTGGGTCAGGGTCATGAAATATTTAGGGTAGGTGTACAATTGATCAATGCGAAGGTACTGAAAGTTTCGTCACGATCAGCCGCTTTTTATGCGAGTTATTCGCGAAAAACCTTAGGGGGATTGCATCAACTCAACTCCCTGTGCCGGCGAGGGTTAGTGATTTTAGGCGCAAAGTAGTAATGAAGCAATTTCTGGAAAGTAAAAGGATGAGAACGTTTCCAGCGTTTCCGGAACGTTTCCGGAAAGGAACTTGTTTACAACCGTGACCCTCAAAATCGTATTCAGGGCCAAACTTGCGGGGAAGGCCAGCTGACAAGTGTACGCCCCGGTGACGTCACGGGTAATGTTAAACAGTCGGGCGCTCGGCACATAGGAAAGCTCGGGATGACAGCCCCCTGCTTGCTACTGGTTCAGCAGTTCTCCACTGGTTCAGTTGTCCCTCGTTCAGCTGTCACTGGGATTTGGCAGGTGGCTTGGTGGCGTCCAATAAATGACGCTCTCCCACCACGCCCAGTAAACTGTCGCTGGTAGGCCCTTTGGCAACCCTAGGACCCAGACTGAGACAGGGATAATAAGGGATGAGGGGCGCAAACTGGACCACCTACATCAACATGCCTACAAATTTGCCCGGGCTTGTTCCGGATTCCACAATTAATAAAACTGCTGCTCTACTTTGACAGCTGGGCGCAGCTTATAGGGCCTTGGGCGCAGCTGGGGGAGGAGAGGGAGGGGGCGAGGCGGACCGTGTGCCCTTGTAGCACGGAGACACGCCGTGCCGAGTCGCCGACCCAGCCGGGCGAGCGGGCCAGCGCGCGGCGCGTCGGGCCAGCGGCGGCTGAGTGATGAGATGCCGCCGGCAGTCAGTCGGTGAGCGGCGCTGGCGGTGGTGTGGCGCGGGGGGTGTTTGTGTGGATGGGACTGCGCTGTGTTGTTTTTAGTTCGTGTGACCTTTGAACTTAAGTCTGAACCGGCGCGAGGCGTCAAACCGGAGTGAGCAGAGGCTGCAAGAGAAGGAAGAAGAAGGGACTTCATACCAGGTATGTTGTTCTTCTGGGGTGAATGCCCGACGATTTCACTGCTTCCCTTGTCAAAACAGCGCACTTTTCTGATGCTGTAATGCTCTTCATGTCAATGTAGATGGGTAAGCAGCTATGAATCATGAATATAATCTGATTCTGAATCGCGGGCGCCGTTACGCAATGCAAGAACTTGTTTACTTATTGGCTAGGCAAACAAGCTGAACTTGTATGGACATACCTTGACCAATAGCCATGTCAAATTGTTTGTACACACTTCAGTGCCCAGCTAAACCATGGCGACAATTTAATAATGCGCCATTGTATGAACGACAAAGGCTCTGGAACCTGAACCGAATCACCGGGCCCACAGGCACAGCGACAGCGTATGTCGATCGCGGGACATAATGAAAACCTGGTTTCCATGCCTACATTTCATGCCATATTTGTGCATAAAGTATCCCTATTCCCTACAGTAATGCTTTCCCTTTCATTTCATTCCCTACCTTTAATGCTTTCTAAATCCCCGGGGTGGGTGTGGGTGGACTGGGGAGCCCCCCCCCCCATTCTCGTCGTTTCGCCCCTTTTTGAGAAAGACTAAGGAGCCTCGCGTAAAAACGGAATGTGCGCAGTGGCGGATCCAGGGGGGGGGGCAAAATGGGCATTTGCCCCCCCCCCCCAAACGGCATGATTTTAACATTACGCCTATGGACGATGCATGGAAAGAATCGATAAATTTTTATGGTTTGCCCCCCCCCCCCCAAACCTCTGAGCTGGATCCGCCTCTGAATGTGCGCCGTTACGAGACGCAACGACTGTAGTACCCGATTTTAATAACTGGTGACCTGGTCCACCGGCTGACCGGTTGAGCTCAGGTCAGGCGTTCCAATGTAAGGTTCAGTTGTTGGCGAATAACGTCTTCAAAAATGGTCTCGTTGTTGTTGTTGTTGTTGTTGGAATAGGACGCGTAGCCTTGCGACCCAAGCGTCCAACTTCACTGTAGTCGTTCTCTTGACTAGTAGTCACGTCCTTTCTTGCTCGGTACCAAGGCGTCGGTACTAAGCGGTAGGTACTAAGCAGGTGGCAATGGAAGGAGTAAGGAGATAAAAATGGTCTCAGACTTCAGTGCCGCGATTTAGGCACTATTGTTCGTGTTCGTCAAGTGATGCGCGTCGAATGATATGCCTACTTTATTTTTGGGTTGAGTCAACTTAGGGGGTTGACCTCAGGTCAAGGTCAAGTCAAAGCCGCTCAGATGTCACGAAGCTGGTCGAATGAGGTAATTATGTATGATAATTCGATTTGGCAGGTATTCCTGAGTCCAATTGTAACCTTCCTGAATCGCTAGCTCAACTTGTTCGGGAGTTATTGACGAACAATTCCGATGACCTTAGTGAGTCATATATTATTATAACTTACGTAAGCTCAACAATGCAAAAATTAATTAAGCATCGAATCTTAACCCGCGCCGTGCTGACTGCTGGTGGCAGGAGTTTTCCGTGTCGTGCTGGGCAGGGGGGGGGGGCGTTTTAACCCCCCCCCCCCCGTCTAACTGCTCCTGGGCCTCGTAGCGACACGCGGTAAGCGGCAATCGAAAGAGCGTCAAAAGTAAAGTCTGAAATATTTTGGCTGTTTCTTAGGTCAGGTCACCAGATGTCACCAAATGTCAAATCTTGTCTATTTCATTTTTTAACAATTTTTTAAATGCCCGACGGCTAACTCGGGAACCAATTGAGCTACAAAAAGCACATCTGATAGCTCTTTCAATGCTCTTTTGCCTACACATCCTCAGATTTGACCTCAGGTCAACGGTTTAGCCTCCAGAGGGCAAAAACTAAAAATAGCTGTTTTGATTAACAATGTTTTTTTCGGTAATAGCTCTTAACTCAAGAGAGCCACGACATTACTTTTGCCAGCATCGTGTTTCTCTCGTCAAGACGCGTCGACTTGACTATAAGTTTACCTTGAAAGGTAATTTTGAAATCTGACCTGAGGTGAAGGTCATGATGACCGGAAAGGGTCATGCTGCATATTTATCTATCCGTATATATCTGACGTGTTTTCACCGCTCGAGCACGTCTCTATCAAAAGTTATAGTAAAAAAGAAACTCCTGTCTCCTGGTGACCTTGCATGGCCTGAGATGACCTCAGGGGCACACGGAGGGGTCAGAGGTACAATTTACCGAACCAGTGTGTCATATTCACCCATGAACCGATGTTTTAGAGGGTTTAGAACAACATTCGTCCAAAAGAGGCGCATATCAATTTTTCTCCCATTGACTTATAATGGAGAGGTCGCCAAATTGACCTGACCTCAGGTCTCAGGTATAAAAAGAAAATCCAAGATATACATTTTATACATACTGTTACTCTTATCAGTCGCTGAAAGTTTCAAAGTGAACGTTTATTCGGTGTAGTTACAACGATTCTTTGAACTTTTTCTGAGGTAAGGTCACTGGACATGACCTGGTGACCTGACCTTGAACGAATCGGGTCTGAAATTTTTACGACATGTGCGGAAAAGATGTATGAACGGGTGTATCAAAAACGGTGGCTCGCAGCGCCGCTGTTTTTGAGATATTTGCGAAAAACATGAGGGGGGGGGGCGTGAAGATGCCCCCCCCCCCCCCACGGCGCGGATGCTATGTGTATTGTTTTAAATAGTCTTAGCTCGTTTCTGTCCCTCAAATAACAGTTTCTATTTTCCGCCATTGACATAATGATGAGGTTACGTGACCGACCTGACCTCAGTTGACCTAGGTATATGCGAAATCTGAGGTATACATACATGTGAGAACTGGGGATGTTGCTAAGTCCTGTCCTGTAAGTTTCATCTCCCTGCGAACGATCCCTGGTACCGAGGGGGCGTTGCGAAGTTGCGACATTTTAGGGCCGTGCAGAGGCTCACTTTTGACACTTTTGACAAGATAAGTAACCTGACCTGACCCGAAAATGCGGATTGTGCAGCGAGATCCGACTTGAATCAAAGGTCAGATGTAGAGTTGACCTGACCTGACCTGACCTTAGGTCACCGATATCGAAATTCCGATATAAGCATTTTGTACATGCTAATGCTCTTATCAATCGCTGAAAGTTTCAAAGCGATTGGTCACTCGGTGTAGCTATGGCAGACATTGAAACTTTTTATGAGGTGGGGTCATTTGAAGTGACCTTATGACCTGACCTTGGATGACCTTGGTCTGAGATTTTCACATGTGTAGAATTGATGTATGATAAGCTGTGTCAAAACGGCGGTGCTCCGCGCCTATTTGTAAACAAAAAATCCACGGGGGGGGGGGGATTTTAAGGGCGCGGTTTATGATATGGTAGCATATAACATACCTAGATGTATAACCATAGCAATGACATTTTTACTATCGCTATTTCGGTTGGGTGGCCATCTCATTCTCCTTTGCCTATGTTTTCCCAAGATTACTCTACTTATAATGTTTTCCGTCCAAGCCTACGCTTTCCTAGCAACAGCGCGCATCCCGTCTCAAGCAGTAAGTCCATGCGGCTGCACGAGACACAGCCGCGGCGGCCGCGGCCGGCAGCCAGCCGGACGGCTGCATCCCTATTACGGGCTTACATAAGATCCCGCCGGGCGGGTACCGAAATACGTACCCAGTAGCCGCGGCGCCGAACCCCCGCACGGCTGGCGTGGTGTCGCCGGAGGCTAGGCAGAATAGCCAGGTTTGGATGGACCGGGCAAAGAGTACATGTACTCTTACAGACAAAGGACTCCTCCCACTACACTCAACGCTGTTGTTGTTTATCTTTATGCCAAGAATAAGCTAACTATAAAAGGCATAGGTTTCTATATTACTCGGCTTCGAGTCACTCCAGAGCGACTTCAGCTGAAGGTAAAAGCACAGACATTGTCTGTGCTTGGATCATCTTCCCTTGGATCATCTTCCCTCTTGCTACAGAGTCAAACGCTTTGCTGTAGTCCACCGCTACTACGAAAAGAGGTTTCTTCTTTCTGTAGCTCTCATCTACGCAGTAGTTTAGAAGGAATAGGTTGTCCTCCACCCGCCCTCCTCTCGTGAAGCCGGCTTGAGTCTCTAGTATCTCGTTGTTTTCTTCTAAATGATTTTCGATTTTTTCCTTGATGACGCTCATGCAAATCTTATAAGGAATATCGGTTAGTGCTATGGGACGTAAGTCTTTTGCTGTCGGCTTCGTCTTTTTCGGAACCATCTTGGTTTTTGAGGTTTTCCACGAGGATGGCTGCTTGTTTGTTGCTATTACATTATTGAGACATCGAGTGAGTGCAGTTACGCCCACCGCTGTTTTTGTTATTGCCTTATAAAATTCCGGTTTCAGTCCGTCTGGACCTGGTGCTGTTTTATTCTTCATTTTCTGGACAGCCCTTGTCACATTCTCTTCTTCCACTATGATTGGCGTCATGTTGTTCACTTCTGGAAATCGGGAGGTTTCGTCATTACAGTTCATCATATGTGCATATTCTGTCTTCTTTTCGTCGTTCCACACTTCCTCGATTGCATTCGCATGCTTTTGGTAGATTGTTTTCCAGTAACGTATTAGCTCAGCACTTTCTTCTCTGCTGTTAAGTTGCTTCCCATTTTCATCAAATAGGTGGACATCGACACCGTTATGATTCTCTTTCTTTCTTAGTTTATTTATGTTCTCCCACATTGATCTACTTTTGTTTTTGCTTTCTCGTATTTCATGTGTTGTTTTCCTTTCTGACTCTGTTATGGCCTTCTTTACAAGCAGTTGAACTTTGGCTTTTTGTCTCGCATAAGCAGCTCCGAGACTTACTTTCACTCCTTCATCCTTTTCGTTCCTCCTCGCCCTGTTTAGGTATTTGCTGTCGGATTTTTACTTCTGCCCTTATTTCGTCTGTCACCCACGGCTGCTCTTTGATACGTCCTGATTCAGTTGTCCGTCTTCGATATTGAGACTTGAGTTTTTCGTCAGCCACTGCTTTCAAAATATCGTTCAGCTGTTCTATGTTTTCCACCTCCGTTTCCTCCATTTTTCTTACGAATTCTGCA